GGGCCGACACCAGTGGGATCAGAGCCCGTGGGGGGCCGCGGCCATGCCGTGCATCCCCTGCTCGGCCCCAGGAGCCGTGCGGCCCGTCGGTGCTCTCGCCTCCGGCCCCGCACGAGGTGTAGCGCTCAGCACCCAGCTGTGTTTGCTCCAGTTGGGTACGAAAGCACGCCGTGTTTCCCCTGGCTGCCGGGGGGCTCTGCAGCCTGCGCGTCCCACAAGCAAACCACGTGCACGCCAAAATGAGTAAACGGCACACAGCCTTCCCCAAAACTCAGGAGGGGCGAGGCTGGGAGGAGGCTGTCATTACTCCTCAGGAATTAATGAGGAAGAGCCAGAGGAGCGTATTTACTGGGAAATATTCCAGTCATTCCCTCCAGAGAATACATTATGCCACCTTCATCACACTGGGATATTTCGAGTTCCCCCTTCCATAAAGGAAACGCATCCGTCAGAAAGGAGCAGGCACCAAGCTGCTCAGGGGAAGAGCCCAAGTCCCAGCTCTCCGCTGCTGAGGTGCAAAGCAGCAAACCATGTCAGCAGCCCAGCACTCTTACGGGAGCGTCCTCCTCGGGACGGATGCTTACGGCCCATCCTAGCACTGTCCCTGGGCAGCACAGGCATCATCTACCATGCTGTCCCTTGGCTCCTGCTCTGCTAACACAGCTGGCGCCTCATACTTGGGGCTCTCGCCTCCTAAAGCAGAGATTAATTCTGGTGGTGCTGCAAAGCGTACAGTGGAAAAGAAACAGCGTCATAGCATAATTTTGTTTGAAACTAATCTGGACATCTTTACCCCAAGTTCCTGCTCAGAGAAGGACTAGCACCCAAGTCAGACCAGGTCGTGCAGGATCTCATTCAGTCAAGTGTTAAAAATCTCCAGGAATGGCGCTTCCCCAGCCCCTCTGGGCACCTGCCCCGTGCTTAAGCTGCCAAAAACAGATGCAGGGTACTGACCAGATTCCCATTCCTGTTTTAAAACAACAGAGCCTGCTAGCATGGACAAGCCCTTAGCCTCTTCTGCGCGACTTTCCATCTGAAAGGAGGGAGAGAAGTGTTCAGGACATTTTAGCTTACACACACCTTGGAAGCATCAGCAGATTCATGCAGAAAAGGTTTATTTACGAGCTTGACTGGAGTTGTCCCAAACCCAGGCTCCCTGCAGCCTGGCATTTATCAGTGCTACAAGGATAAATGCAGCACACAAGGATGCCATGATAAATGCAAGCAGTTTTCTACTGAGTCATCACGTCCTGCTACAGCTGGTGAACATAAAAGGTGTGAACAAAAATTGTAGTGAGGGCTGCAAGAGAGTTAAGAAAATCTCCAGCTCCGTCTGGACTCTGAACAGTGATGGAGATGATTGTTAATTAATCATGGTCTTTGGGGAGAAAGAACCAGTGTAAGGACTAATTAAAAGAATATACAGTGGAGGGAAAAAGATTATTTATTGTACCAAGTAACAGCCCTGCTACTTTTTCTCCCTTCCACAGGCCCAATGGGAAGGATTAACGGGACGAATTGTCTTTAATAAAACTAGCGGTTTACGGACCGATTTTGATTTGGATATCATCAGCCTCAAAGAAGATGGTCTCGAAAAGGTAGGCAGGGTTTGTCTTACCTACATATGGCTTAGTCTAATACTCAGGCAACAGAGAAAATGGTTAGTGGTTTTATGTTTCCATGTTTTCTGTTTTTGACATAAAAGGATATTTACTTTGTGGGATTTCTCAGATCCTTTTCCATGCCTCAGCCGTGACTCACTAGCGCCGAAGCAACATACCTGGGATTACAGTTAGTAGCTGCAGAAGTGCTTGTGGCACTTTCCTGGGGTAGCGGAAGCAGAAGAAACTTTCTGAGCAGCCATTAACCTCTGCTCGCCCAGGCCAAAGGTGGAGGGAATAAAGCCTGTCCCACCCCCATCCTGCTGGGCTTGCTTACAAAATGTTGATTTTCCCTTGAGGAGGCAATGGCTCTTAAAAGCATCATCTCGGTGTGATTTCCCACAATGAAAATTGCCTGAAGCGTGGAAATGGCACCAGCTTATTGCAGCCTGGATTTTGCAGGAGGATGCAGTGTGTATTTTTGTTTATTTCTTCTCTGTGTTATTTAAAGGACAATAAGAAATAAAGCAAAGTGCGCTTTTGCCTGGCTGGCTGGCGGGGTCTCGCTGGGTGGCTGTTTGCCCGGCCACCCAGAGGCGACAGGGCACAAAGGCTGCAGCCTCAGGTCCTCCTAACTAGTGCAAATCTCCTCTGGGCACAGAAATACGGTGCTGATGTGCAAATCTGATTCTCAGGTGTTCATGGGGATTTAATTTCCTGTTCCTTCAATTACTTAAAAAAAAGGCAATATGCAAAGCACTAGAGCTCCTAGAACACGGGTCTCAAGGTGAGATCAATTGTTTAAGAGAAAAGGGAGCAGCGCGTGGCCTGAAGTGAAGACAGCACTGCACCGCGGACAGCTGATCCCAGCAGCGAGCGGCGCCCGGGGGCCGTGCTCTGACCGGGCTCCAAATAACCAAACACCGGCACGCGGGGTCGGCGAGGGCTCCCGCAGCCTGACCCCTTTCTGCCTAATGCTGAGGCTCCGTTCTGCTAAAGGTGGCTTGCGGATTCACAGCAGAAAGCTGGCTACTGGGCAGCAGCTCCCTGTCAAGAGCGGAGTCTGCTTTTCGGCACGGCCCAGGCGCCTACGGGCAGCGAGGGAGGAGTGCCGGCGCCGTGACCGCTGGGCACGCAGACCCGTTATGCCGCGCGGGAAATGCCGGCCGGGCGCCAGAGAGGGAGTTCTCAATTAAGCATGCGGCAAGCGGCCCGACGCGCACCGATGACTTTGCCGGTTGAGGCCGGGAATTAAGCCCACGGTGCAGGTAGGCAGCCCCCGCCGGCGGGGGCAGCGGCTGGATCAACCCCCTGTTTGGAGGGGACGTATCCTGTGCAGCGAGGCTCCCTGGGACCAACGGCTTGACTTTCCTATCCCCCCTTTTTACAGTTTGTTTTTCCTTCGCTTTGAAATAAATTGTTGCCATGCTTTCACACTACAGCAGTGGTTCTTTGCTTCGTATAAAAAATCTCAAGGTCACCACAGCGCTCTCCCAGTGGGTGTTTTTTGGTGTCAAATACAGAATAAAGAAAACGTTTCAAATAAACCCAATGACCTTCGGTCTCAGCTGCCATCAGTCTCACTGCCAAGCCTGTGCAGGAAGGAGGCAGGAGAGGAGCAGGGGAAGATGCCACCTTCTCACAAGAACTGAGCAGGAGATGATCTTTGTAGCTTGACTTCTTCTTTTACAAAATATTTTGTTTATAAAAAAACAACATATCTTTTTGGAGTACAGTGACACCAACCGTACCAACGGACTGCGGGAGAGCTCTGTTGGCAGAATAATCGAAAAATGTGCGAGTATTAGGATACCGTGTGAATCTAAACGTTTAAGTACAACCGCAGCATCTATCTGTCAAACTAATACTCCTCAGGTGTACTGGAGAAGAGCTGGCACCAGCTGTATTTATTGCTATTGTATGTCACATAAAACCTACAGGAAGCCGCCAAACCTTGATGCGTGCTCTGTGCAGCCGTTCAGATTTTGTCTCCAACCGTTCAGAGATCTCGCAGTTCTCACTATTATTTTTTTGAAAGCTTCTTGTCAGCTCTAGAGCGGTTTTAAAGCATTGATGACAAATCTCTGTTGAAGCTAGGTTTCTGTCAATAGTTAATCTGAAATAACAAAATGCCAAACTACGAACAAATCCCATACAGACTGTGCATTATGTATAATAGCTTATGTTTGTTGAGCTTTAGGATTGAACTCCTGATCCTTATACCTCCTGGATGTTTCAGGGATTACAGGAGTATTAACTAAACCTAATTACATGTAGTTTGACTATCTGACTTGCACAGTTCTCTTAATGCACTTTTTTATTTTTCTTTCCTTTTTTAATATGTTAAACAGATTAATTCATTCTTGAGTGCCATGTATTTAATTTTCTTAAAGAAAATTTAGCAAGGCATAGTAAACTGAGTCTGCAGTGCTGCTAGCAGGGGCCTCTTAGACTTGCTTCTCTTTTCCCATGCACAGTAATAGCCTTTTGACACTGCAGCTGCTGTGTGATCGAAGGGATGGATTGCTTAGGTTTTACCTGAAATATTTAGAGCCTTCACAAAGTTCATGGGAACTCTTCTAGAATGTATGACATCTTTTTTTTGCCAGGCAGCATTGCTCATTACAAATATCTTTTGGGGGATGCAGTAAAGCCAAGTTCTCTCCTTGGACTGCTGAAGAGGTTGAAGAATCTTAGAAATAGCAATAAATAGAATACCGGAAGTTCCTGGCTCCCCTGTGGGTTTGAGCTGACTGCCTTCGGTTTCTCTCTGAGCCCCACCTCACAGTTTGACCCCACAGAGGGATCGCTCTGTTCCCACTTCCAGTGCGGGGTTGTGTTGTTTTCCCACTGTCAGGCTGGGTATATGGCCACCCTGCTCCATCCATTGGCAGCAAACCCATGTTCCTCCAGCTTTCCTGACATTTTATCTCACTGTCACAGTCCTTTAGCCAGTCCTGCCTTCAAAGTTTGTTCTAAAGCCTCCCCTGCACCACGGAGGTCAGGTTAATAGGCTTAGAGTTGCCCAGATGACTTTTCTTAAATAGAGACACGTTTTGCTATTTCTGAGTCAATAGACTTCTTCAAAGTCTAATAATTTATTAAAATCGACAGCTTGAGAAAAACAGAGCACCTCAAATTGACACAGACCGTAGCTGCGTGTGCCTGTGCCCATGCCTGAGCAAGTCTGCTGCCGCTGCCTCCTCCAAGTTTGCTACCAAGACCTTCCATTGTGGCAGACTTCCGCGAAGGGGTGACCAGGACCCTTCCAAGGGGACCTGTTAGAAACCTCCGTCTAGCTTGCCACAGCGCAGAGGACAGGAATCATCCCTACCAGAGGTTTGCAGAGCTGGTCAAGTCATTTTTAATTCTCCCCACCAAAGCAAATTGGTGGGGAAATAAAAAAGAAAGAAAATGGCCTCATATTTGTGTTTGTTTTCTTTTGTTCTGCTTCATCCTTGCCCAGCACAGTTTGATTGTTTGCTCTAAACAATCCCTAAATTCCTGGCCCCCTAAATTCCAGTCATCGTGGTCTTCTTTCACGCACCTGCATCAGAAGGCAGCGTAAGGGTTGCTTATTACAAATGTGCAGTTGGAGTGACCTGCAACTGAAGGGTTAATAATTTCAGCTTTTCTTCTGTTTACTGTAGGGTGCTGAGAGCAAGTAAGGAATGTAAGCCGGGCGTTCATGCATTCGTTTGCTTGCTCCATTTCAGGTTGGAGCGTGGAGCCCTTCTGACGGTTTGAACATCACGGAAATTTCCAAAGGACGAGGGCCTAATGTCACCGACTCGCTGAGCAACAGATCCCTAATTGTCACCACGGTCCTGGTAGGAGATTGCAAGCCTGTCTTTGTCCTCCACCCACAACCTCGGGGATATCTGGTATCTCTGAAAAGTCACTGCATCCCAGTACAGATCTGCAAGTCCCCCCTGAAAGCCGAGCAAGGGCACGGAGAGCCCCCGCATGCGGGCTGGGCTCAGCAGGCCACCATGACGCCCACGTGCCTGCACCGAGGTGACCTGCGGCATCCTCCGATGCCTCCGCTCCCGAGCAGGCGGACGGGGAGGCTGGCATGGGCTGGCTGGAACCATGTGTGGTCCCGGTGCCAAGGAGGCTGCTGCTCGTCCTGGCTGAGCTCCTCCGCTTCAGCCGCCCGGCCAGGTCCCCTGTCCCCCCTTGCTCTCGTGCATGCTGGAGGCATGGGAGGTTTGCGTGTGCTGAGCTCCAGAAAACCTCTGAGTCGCCCATTTACCGCCAGCGGCTGCGCAGGCAGCAGCGCCGGGGCCGGCACCGCCCTCAGATAGGAGCGTCTTCTTACAGAAGAAAATACTGAGAACAACCAGAGACCCTGGCTTAGCTGTGACAATCGTGTTTCTTTCCCCCTCTTAAGTAGATATTTGATAATCTAGCTAAGAGTAATGCCGTTACCCAGCAAACCACGGTTGCTTAACAGAGCTGCTCCGCTTCCACCTGTCACGCTGCATTTCGTTCTCACATTCACTATTGGATTTGACGGCACGCATCAGATCAGAATGAATTTTTATTTACTAGCTAATGAATTATGACTAGTGGCATTGGTTGCTATATGGCTGTATTACACAGCGCAGGCTCATGGCATGTCACCAGGAAGCAACAAAAAATACCAGCCCTTGGACAGCCTACCCACCGCCGGGCCTGCATTACGGTTTCGCCTATGGAAATTTTCTGGCCCTTTTGTGCTCTGTATTTCCTGGGAGCATTAAGGTACAGAGGGTAAAGAGCTGCCAGCTGAGGGATGTGTTCCCCAGCCTGGAGCTGTGTCATCCCTCGTGATGACCTTGCCTTCCCAAAAAGATATGACCTGATAGAGTGGGGGTTTGTATTGGAAGGAATGAGACCAAGAAAATACCCAGAGGAGAACAGAGAAAGGAAACACTTGGTCCAGGGCAGAAGAAGGGCTGGAACTAAAGGTCTTGCATTGCTCAGCAAGAGGCTAGCCAAATGGAAGCAGGCAGAATGTGAACCAGATACAGACGCTGCTGCAGCTTTCCTTGCAAATTAGCCACCCCTTCTAATGAACTTCCCATTCAACACATACTGGTTCCAACGAAACATTTTCATCAAAGTCCCTCTCTCCAAGAGTCAGGTACAGGCTCAGCCCATTGCCTATGCTCAGTAACACACCTCTCTCATGTCTCAACATGCTGGGGTGACTGGAAAAGTTCCTTCCCTTCCCAATCCAGAAGTTCTTCTACCGTGCCAGCCCTGTGAGACCGTGATGGGTCACGCGTACGGGGGAGTCTGCGCGGGGCAGTGTTCCCGTGCCACCCGCATTAGCAGAATCGGCGGCAGCCACGGTTCCCCAGTGGCTACAGTCATTGAAATGAATCATCACATCAGGAGTTACTGCAGGAGTAGAGAAATGACAGAGCAAAAGGCACTTTAACAATTCAACATGCATCAGATTGTAAGACTGTTTCTGTTGAGACCCTTGCAGCAGCGTGCGTGCACTCAGGCACGACAGACACAGTTTGCCCTTTTTTTTTTTCCTTTTGCGTTTAAGCATTCTTGGTGTGTTCAGAAAGCAGGAATTTAGGTAGTGTTTTTCTAACAGGCTGAACGGAGAGACCTGGCATGCCGTCTTTAGTTCCTTTTAGCACGGTAACCTAAAGTGCTGCCAGCGCCTGTACACGGGAGATGCAAATTCTTAGGGCAACATGAAGAACACATCACATCAAGTCACTCCCAGGAGGAGGCTCAGGCTCAGCTCTAAGGGAATTGTTCAACCCGTACCATGGCTGGATAAAACTCACCAGAAGTTATATAATGTCTCCTCTTCCCCCCCACTCTCTTTAATTAGAACTGTGCGCAGCACATCGGGGAAGATTCCTGGGGTGGGACGGCTGGTAGCACTGGGGAGAAGGCTCGAGGACGGCAGCAGAGCTGCCTGCACCGAGAGCTGGAGGAGCACCCGGCCGCGGGTGAGGCCGAGGGACAGCAGATACGTTCAGGACTGGAATATCGGTGAGAGCTGTATGGACAGGACTGGGGGAAACGGGAAAAGATGATCCTTGTCAGGGTAAGATGTGTGGCCAGAGTTGTGGAAATGTCTGGGCCTAGGGTGCGATAATCACTGCACCTCAAAGGCCACGGCATAATGCAAAATGATGGAGCCAGGAGGAGATCTGTCAGCCATCTGCCTTTGACGTGCTTTTTTCAGGCAGCATTTTCATCTCATAGTCCGCAAGCACGTACAAATTACATAATGTACAAGGGTGATATCAGTTCCTATTAATTGTGCCTTTCCTTGGGCCTGTACACGTGCCACGGGGTATCCTCCCGAAACCACAGCTGTCCTGCAATTCCCTTGCCTGCAGGAAGAGGAAATGTGCTTAGACCCGAGTCCTGCAATAATTTCATTTTCATATACTGGATTCTGAAAAAGAAAATACTACCCTAAATTGTATTTGCATTTGCAACACCCCTTTGTACTTCTGCACTGGTGTAAACGATTGTAGAAAAGTCATAGGAGGAACCTTTAAAAGGAAAAGCATGAAAGGTTATTTTTTCCCCTTTTGCTCATATTGCAGTGACTTGTTGGAAGAGAAATATTACCCCAGCAGCCAGCGCCACTCTCCCCAAGCAATACGGGAACTGTGAAGTTATGAAATTGAGGGCACCTTCACTGAGAAATCGATTAGCAAACCGAGAGAGCTTGTGAATTGGATGTCTGGCCATTTTCAGTAATAAATTGTGAAATAGTCCGTGAATAAGTGGTTCACAGAGTTCAGAATTACCCCCTAGGAAATGTTTGAGACCTGGAGATACATTACTGAAGCGAGTGGCGTCCTAATGTTCAGTGCTTCGGCTGTTAAATATGTATGTAATCCCTACAGCGCTTCCCAAAATTAATAGTGCTTTATGGCTGCTCTGGAGCTGGTGTATTTATACCAAGATCCATAGATTCAGCTGATTCACAAACAAAGCACTAATTCCAGAGAAGAAAGCTGAGGAGGCGGCCAGGGAGAGCAGGATTTAACTGAGCTGCGCGTGCCAAACTAAACTCTATAGGCGTGATGTTATCAGGTTTGCTTTGTAACTCTGCAAATCGAGCTTCATGTGCTCTCGTCCCCTCCCTACCCCACCGTCAGGCCGAGCAGGCACCTCCTGCTGCGCCAGCCCGGGGGTGGCAGAGGTGTCCCACCGCACAGGCAGGGCTGGCAGGACGTGCGGGGAGACAAGAGCTGCCACCCTCCAGGCTGGCACAGCCCAGCTCTGGGCCCCGAGCCCTGCCAGCGCACTGGGCATCTCGGCACCCTCCAACCGCGGCTCCAGGCCTTCCCTCCCGCGACGTCAAGCCCTGCTTGTCCCCGTGCAACATGGCTCGCTCGCCAGAGCAAAAGCTGAGCCCTCCCCTCCCCGGCCACCCCACAGGCAAGGACGGTAGCCTTGCACATACCTTCAGCTCAAGCCGCGTAGTAGCTGGTATCTCATCCTCCCCTTGCCTTCTAGCTTTTGCCTGCTGCCTACCATCTTTTGCCGTTTCCATCTGCCCTCTACACATTTTCTCCCGTGGGCTCCCCAGTGTCCCTCGCCCTCGGTGACTGCCCAAGCCTGGTATTCACCAAAGGGCTCTGCAGTTTGCTGCGTGTTTGCTAACTTCATCTGCCAGTCCCAGCTGAAGAGGCAGGGATCCATAGGGCAAAGCCTGCTGTAAAGCACTTTATTAGTGATTTTTCACTTGTGCTGGTGCTCGGCGCTGCTGTGATTAAAGATGCCCCACAACCTTCCCACGGCAGGTGTAACTGGAGCTGACAGCAGAAACTCTCTCTGGGCAGCAGTAGGGCCCCATATCCCATCAGCTAGTGCCAGCATAGAGAAAAACGAGCTGAACCTGGGACTGTTTTGGGCTGGCCATCAGCCGTGCACAGCTCCCTCGCCCTGTATTTAACACACCAGCCTCCTGCTCGCTGCAGTGAGTGACAGGTACTGTGGTGTGGGTTGGCTGTGCTTCTGCTGTGCAGAACTTGGGGTTGAATTTGTCTGTCCGCCTTTTATTGTTTCTCAACGCCCTTCATTTTCAGAGCATGAAATGGTTATTTTTCTCCCTGAAATACTACCAAATGGAAAACAGTTGGCTTCTCAGAAGAGACAAAATTAAATTTTGTGGGGTAAACAAGGTTGCTAATTAGCTGATGTGCTGTGCAAAGTTAATTTATTCCCAACATGTCACAGTGCCAACCCTGCCTGAAGAGCCTGTGCCTCGTGGCTCAGGTTGACCTGCAGGAGCAGCCCTGCCTGCAGTGGGAGCTGGGGCCGCAGCTGACCCTTAACGGGGACTTTTTGCCTTCCCATGTGCAGGAGGAGCCCTTTGTCATGTTCCGTAAGTCCGACACGGCCCTGTTCGGGAACGACCGCTTTGAGGGTTACTGCATCGACAACCCTGCCTGAAGAGCCTGTGCCTCGTGGCTCAGGTTGACCTGCAGGAGCAGCCCTGCCTGCAGTGGGAGCTGGGGCCGCAGCTGACCCTTAACGGGGACTTTTTGCCTTCCCATGTGCAGGAGGAGCCCTTTGTCATGTTCCGTAAGTCCGACACGGCCCTGTTCGGGAACGACCGCTTTGAGGGTTACTGCATCGACCTGCTGAAGGAGCTGGCCATCATCCTGGGCTTCACCTACGAGATCCGGCTGGTGGAGGACGGAAAATACGGGGCACAGGATGAGAAGGGGCAGTGGAACGGCATGATCAAGGAGCTCATTGACCACGTGAGTGAGGCGCATCTGCGGCGCGGGCAGCCAGCGGGCGGGCGCGCCCGGCGGCTGCGGCGGGGCGGCTGTGCCCAGCTTTCTGCCTGGGGTGGGACGGGTGCCTGCCGCTCGCTGGCTCGGGATACCCGCAGCGAGCTCCTAACCCCGCCTGGGCTCTGCCTGTGTTGCACAGTTTGGCAGAAGAGTACCTGTTTGTCTGACATTTCCAAATATTCCTTTGGATTTTCTGTAAATGGACATTTTCACAGTACAGAAAGGGGCTCCGTGGCTTCAGCCGCAGATCCTCCCCACCAGGCTGCTGTCCCGTGGAGGGGTGCCGGCTAGGCACGCAGAGGAGGGAAGAGGTTTCTGCGAGGCCTGGCCGCCCACTGGGTGTCCTGAGCGTGGCCGCCCGGGCGGCAGCGCTGCGTGCCTGCCCTCACCCCTGAGGATGCTGCCGCTCTGCCCCTGAAGAACATGGGCCAGGGCGCAACATCGAGGTGGCTCAGGGGCCCCAGACATGGCGCAGACACAGCTCAGCTGAATCCAGATGACGTATCCAGACTGCAGGAGCAGGTGTACAGGGGACAGTTTAATATACGTATTTTTTTATAAACACAGCTTATTTTCTAAAATCTCTTGGGACATGGAGCTCCCCCTGCAACAGAGCAGCTGTGCTTTTCCTTCCGCAGCCACTTCTAAAAGCCCATTAAACACTAGTGAAACTGTCGTGGCAGCTTTTACTCTCGCAGCCACCAAGAAGTCACCTAGTCTGAAACCTCGACTCGTGGCCAGAGGTTGCTCAGTTTCCTAATTAGATATTTTGCCTCCAGCACAAACTGTGATCCCAGAAGCCCAGTTAGGGAGGTGAGAAAAGCTGGTGTTTTTATGAATCTCTGATTCCCAGAAAAGGTCTCTGGAAGAACAGATCAGGACAAAGTTACTCTAGTCTCCGCAGCACAGGCAGCAGTATAAGCAGTCCTGGAGCTGTAACACAGCTCTCTCCTCCTGCTCAATATCCTGCTCAAGTGGTGCAGCCCTTTGACCGCCTCTGGTTCCTGGTTACATTCTGAAAATTGCCTAAGCAGAAAAGAGACAAAAATAATCCCACGTACGTAGCAGCTGTGATGCTCTTACAGTTCATGTGAGAAGAATGTATTTGCTGGGTGAGTCACTCAGTAAATGAGCTTCGCTGGGAACAGATAAGAGAGCATTGTCTGGCAGCGGGACTGTGGAGCTGGGGCTCGGGGATCTAGGTTGTGGTCTGGATTTGGCTCGTCTGCCCTAAACAACATTGGACAAGTTGCTTCTGTGCAATACTTCCTCCATCTGTAAAATGCAGATGATAATCATTATGTTCCTCGTAGGGACAAAGCGATGCTTAACCAGTTTGCGAAGAGCGCTGTAGTCCTTAGACGGCTCACCCCGGGGAAGCAGGAGGTGCGGCAAGGGCATGCAGGGACAGCCCTTGGGGGGGCAGGACGCTGTGTCTCACGGGGGAACGTGCCACAGGTTGTGCAAACCGGCCTTTGTATTTTTGCTTCCAGAAAACTCCATACAGCTCAAAATACAGATCTCATGGTCTCTTATGCAACAGCCTTGCTAAGTTAGACAAGGGACACTCAGCATCCCAGCAGCAGAGGCTGGTGCTTTGCCCCTGCGAGATGATACGAACAGAGGCAGAGCACAGGCTGCGATCCTCGGCAGCGTGCTCCACGACGCAGCCTCCTGCGGTCCCACACCCGCTGCTGGGAGCAGAGTCTGCGGCTCTCACCGCAGAACATCTGTAGTGCAGGGCTCTGAAGAAGTAAATCGCTCCAAAGCAGGAAATAAGGTATAGGGAACAGAAGCCAGACTGTCATTTAGCCCAAGCCATGTCACTTCCAATGTCCTGCAAGATGTTATAGGGCTCTTGGGAGGCTTTTCAGCCATTCCCAAAGCTGTGTGTGGTCAGCTAAAAGAGACAGACCAAGAAGAAGGTATGGGGAACAACGTCATTAAGTAACACAAAACTCATGGTCAACCAGCATTAAAGTATTTCTTGGCTAACTATTTAAAGAGCAACAGGAAAGGACCAAATCCCCTCTTCTTTCAAGTTTCACTGTAGCATCACGTTTGAACTCTGCTTTCTGACAGGTGTGGTTGGGCACACGCCTTGGAGTGACTTATAACTGTTGCCCAAACCCCATATGAGGCCATTATTTTCTTTATCTGCATGTCATTGCTTTTTATAGCAGTGTTTATGTAAAGCATTAAAAAGTGAAACTGCAACCAGATGGGGCCCTTCCTCGGCAGCAAAGCATTTTCAAATTGTGTGGGGAAAGGAACAACCGATTGGCACTTTGCAATAGGAAAGTTCAAACTTGTTTCACACCTAGTAGGAAAAGTGTTGGAGACAGCATTCAAACAAAGTTGTAGTGATGAAAACAGGGCTGCCCACACTGCGAGTTTGATATCTGGGCTGGCTTTCCTCCCTATTCAGTGTCTCCTTCTCATAAAAGAATCAGGATCATTCAGGTGGGAGCGTAAAGCAGGTAGGATTTTGTGAGGTTGGAACACCCTGTCCAGGACTGTGCATTGCTGAAGGCTCACTTAACTCATGTGCATCTGAGACTGAGCCCCCAGCCCTGCTGCGACACACCAGCTCCGTGGGGCTGAGCTGATGTGCAGGCTTGGTTGAACGCTTTGTGCACAGGAGAGTATGCTCCTGGGGAGAAGTAAGAGGCTAAAATAGTGATTGTTTGCACTTGGAAGGGCTGAGAGCCGTGGGAGCGGCAGGTGCTGTGGACCAGGAATAGCCTGATCTGAGGCTGAAATTCGGTGAAAAGGAGATGAGCAAAGCAAGGGGCAGCCCATCACTCAGGATGGCCTTCTGCTGGGCTGGGAAACACAGCCAGAGAGGAGCTGGGAGTAGGTGCCAGTCAGGTATGTAATATATAGGCGATGGTGCCTACCACACAAAGGTGTGAATCACAGCGCACGTGATGGAGGACTGTTTAGGCAGTGAGCTCTCACGGCTTGTTTTGGAGTCATGCATCATCCTCCTTCCCTGTCCCCTCTGATCCAGACATGCCTGGCCATAGGCAGTAGTGCCTCAGGCTGTGCTCCTTTGTGAAACTGCTTTGTTTCTGGTTTGGCCTTAAGCATAAACAGGAAAAGCAACAGCAGTCACAGCAGCTCCCAGCATGACCCTGTCTTCCAGGTTGCTACTAGCAGATCTGGAGAAGACAGCCTCGTGTGGTTTGATGCAAAAAGCCCTGCCCTGCTGCCTTTCATCTGCTGCTTATCCTTCACCACAAAAAAAAAAAAAAATCCTTGTTTTGGGGGAGCTCAGTCCATTCCCTGGAGAACTAGACTCTCTCCTCATCACAGGTTGTTGTTTATTGTCACTCCCTGGCCGCTCCCGCAGAGGAGCCTCCATCAGATGGGCCCTGAAAGCTGAACTCACCTACTACACTGGCATTTGGGGAGGTTTGGGGCACCCAGGTGACACAGAGATGATCCTGTGCCCTGCATCCATAATAAACAGGGAACCTGGCAACTGTCCAGTCTCCTCCTTCCATCAGCAGTGAACTGTTATTGATGTTTATTCATAGAAATTATTATTGATACCAGCAAAACTACACTATGCATTGCGGCTCATCCATTCTGATTTATAAATTCTAGTTGTCTGGCAAAATAATGCCTGCAAATCTTCCCTATTGTTTGTGGGCAGAATCGCATAAAACCAGCAGAATGAGTTGTTCTGGACATTTTGCACAAACTTGTTCACAAATAAAACTTGTCTTCTGCTGAGACAGTGCATGTCAAATTTCCATTCAATCTGAAACTTCATGTGGGAATAAAAAAGGTATGAAAAATAATAGAGTTTCTAATGGAAATCCCTGCCAATGGTAACTATAGAGAAGATGTAATATCTATCCCTAGGGACGATTTATGACAGTTGATTTAACACTTTCACAACAAATGGGCATTTATTGACAGTAAATTCTGGCAGAAATACATATTGCACCACATTGCCATTAATGTTCCTGCACTAGTGAATCTTTATTTCAAATGCCATGAGCTGGGGATTCATTTGGAAGCCACTGGGCCAGGAACAGGAAAAAAACAATTTCGTTGGATGAGGTGTCCTCCATCTCTGGTTTAGACACTGCAGAACTCAGTGTTAGGGAGGAGATGGAAGGAAGCTGGCTGCACTTTCTCCTTTTGTGCTCAGCATTGTTCATTGGGTGGATTCGTATTTATCATACTCGGCAATCCAGGTGACGGAAGGATACTGAAGTGTACGTTGGGAGCCCCGCGCTCTCTGCTTGCTTCTGCAGGTCTCTCTGGACCTGCCTTCCCTCCCCTGGCTTGCTCACCTGCCCATAATTCGTAGGGTAGGGCTCGTCTCTAAAAATACGGCCGTTCTCATTGGCATCCTACAGCCTTTGACACCCCTTAGGTACAATTAACGGTAGTTCCCTGGAGAATTACCAGAATTACTCCCATTAACGGAGCTTCCCTAAAGAAAAGATTACAAGAGGCCCAACAGGGCTTCACGGTCCTCATTCCTCCTCTTCAGCTTACAGCGAGGTTTTCCCTGCCGACATCTGTTCTCAATTCACCACTGATATTAAATAAATTCATTGACAAAAATTACACCTAAATTGTGACCAAAATTGTAAGAGCAGCCATTAAAAGCTGGAGTCAGACAATTAATACTGACCCCCTGCGCACGGTGCATGCAGTGGCAGGCTGGGGCGCGTCTGGGATGCTGCCGGGCACGACCTCGCTCTCCTCGAGCACCACTTCTCACGCTGAGCGTTTTCCATCCCCGGTCAGCGAAGAGGGCTGGGCTGCGGGCTCTCAGCAGGGCGCTTGGCCGCCTGCTAAAGCAATAGCTCCTCTGCCTCCAAG